CCCCCCCCCACCAAACTCAAAAACAACCCCCCCCCCCCCCCCCCCAAAAACTACAGGAAAACTAAGCCCCCCCCCCCCCCCCACCAATAACTACTAGGAAAACTAAGCCCCCCCCCCACCCCACCAATAACTACTAGGAAAACTAAGCCCCCCCCCCCCCACCCCCCCCAATAACTACTAGGAAAACTAAGCCCCCCACCCCCCCCCCACCACAATCACTACTAGGAAAACTAAGCCCACCCCCACCCCCCGCATTTCACCATAAATTTTTGAGGAAAATAAGGCCAGTCATTCCGTAATTTCAACATTTGGAACTGGCCCATTGTCTTTGTCCACGTCTGATGATTCGCCGGCCTTGTCAGAGGAGAGAAGAATATTGACTTTTTTGGCGACTGATATGCATGCAATACATAAGTCCTGAAACTGTAACAAGACCAAAATTAAAAAGTGAAAGAACAACTAATGCTTTCTGCCAGTTTCCAGCCGATTAATGTAAAGAAGAACGAGGATGAAGAAAAAGAAACATCGGCATAAATGTGTTGTGTTTCATCGAATACCGCTTGTGTATGGCCGTCGTCACACAAAGGGTAACAGTCTCGTTGGCTGACTGGCTAAACTACGTGTGAAGTGGGAGTAAAATTCTATTATAAGGGAATGTCCACGCATAGAACACGAAGACTGGGGCGGTGAACAAGGTGTAAAGATCTATAAAGATCACCGGCTTGTAAAATGAAAGAGCCGAGTGTGTGGCCCAATGAGACGTGTTCAAGACACAATAGAGAATATGGCTGCCCATCATTGATGAGACTGTGACTTCACCATGTAACACCCAAAAGTTAGTGATGGAGTCACAAGGATTTTAAACAATGGAAATAAGCAAACTGCAGTGAACATCAGCGTAAAAAGCTAGCTATTAAAGAAGCAACAATTTTCCCATTTCTTAGATATATAATAACAAACATTGGCTGGAATGAAACAGAAATCAAAAAGAGAGTTAGTCTTTCCTCTTCAGCCAATGGCGGTGGATAGGGCAGAGGTCATCGCTCTCCATGTTGCCGCCTGTGGGCAGAGGTCATCGCTCTCCATGTTGTCACCTGTTTTAGGTCTTGGATGTTTATTATGCCCATGGTCAAGCCATGGTCCCTGATTGTGGTTCTACGCAGGGTCTCTCCTGGTCATCCCCATTTTCTTGTCCCTTCCGGTGCCCATATGAGAACTTAATGGGGGAGTCTGGTCTTAGCCATTCTGAGTCCTTCAGTTAAAGAAATCTGCAGTCAACATGAGGTTGGTGACTCATCTATAGAATTTGTCCTCAAGGGGAGCAGGTGTTAGCCAGAATAATTTTCCCAGTTCTGCATATGCTGGACACTCTTTCATTAGATATTTAGCCGTAATTTTACCTTTTCCACAGTCACCAGTGTTTCCTATCTTTAGTTCATTGAACAAGAGGTGTTTCAGCCTATTGTGTCCTGTGCGGAGTCTAAAGATCACTACTTGTTCTGGTTGGCCAAGTTGGTAGTATGCATTGTCCTTCTTGTAGCCTGGATGTTCAGAATCCCATTTGGTACTTTATGTACTTCTTATAAACCTCTTGGCCTCCTATCTTGTCTATATCAGGCTGTGGTAGTCTTCCACCTTCCTTTGCCAGTCTGTCAGCCTCTTCATTTCCAGGTATGTTGCAATGGGTTGGATTCCACTATACTACGACTCTTTTTGTTCTCTGACTCAGTCCATGGAGTGCAGCTCCAAAGTCTGCTTTTTCTGCAGTGTTTTTGCTCTTCAGTACTGTGACAACTTACTTCCCATCTGTGAAGATAGCTATGCACTTTTTGTAATGTTTGGAGACAGCAGCACCTGCCTGTGTTGATGATTTAACTTTGTTTGAAAACCTGTTTCCGTTATGAATAAAAATAATGACAAAACAATGAATATATTGCACAATTTATTGCCTCGCATGTCTTGTTGAATCTTGTCAGGTGTGTTAATACAGACTTTACATCAACATTTAATGAAGCTCAAAACATAAATACGTTCCAATGAAACACACAAACCACACTGTCTCTTGTTACACTACATCTCACCAATAGACATATAACCAAATGATCACAATGGAAGACTAAAATTAAGCATATGATCCTTTTGTTTTATATTCAACAGATATGTTTTGTATGTATTACTTTCTTATTTTTTGTATATGTTTTTAAGCATGACATTGTAACCTTGTAGTGATATAAACAGATGACCTTTCAAATTTGATTGGCATGCCTCTTTAGCCTCAGCAGACTCTTGACTTTTAAGCCAGCTGCAGTTCTCTTGCTTGCTTGCTTGTTGTACCCCACCAGGATATCACACAAGTGATAAACACTGGTTTGGACATCTAACCAGGATGAAAAATGACCAAATAACATCACAAATTTTCAACCAAAGAAGCTCCGGATATAAGGCAAGAGGAAGACCAAGGAAACTGTGGATTGATGGGGTCTCCGAAACCTGCCAAAAGCATGGCCTCAGAACATCAGATGCTGCCCGCCTTGCTTATGACAGGAACTTGCATCTCCCCACAACGCTTAGCGGCATACGTGGAAGGAAAAAGTAAAGTAAAGTAAGTAAGATAAACACCCGTGACACAAAGTGCCACCATACGGATGAAGATCACCTGTGGTGAGATCCCAGAAACCCCTTTCAGCCGTTAATTATTTATGGCCCCGGCTATATTCAGGGCCCCCGGCAAATGCCAGGGTGGGGCTTCAAATGATCAAAAAATTGCATCCCACATGGGGATGACATTGAGCTCTCCAGTGGATTTGACTAATTTCCTCTTCTTCAGTGATCAACTTCTGCTTTATAACTTTTCTAGCATGGATCACACAAAAAAGCTTGGTACACTTGAGGTTTTCAGGGGCATAGTTTATTTTGCTGGGTCACTCCTTTGGGCCAGTTTTTCTCTCACTGGCAAACTGTGGGTGATCCTGTAAAAGGTTCCACAGTGTGGGGGGGGGGGGGGGGGGGGGGGGAGTGGTCTCAAGGTATGCGTCCACCTCAAGTGTTGGAGGACTCGGGTTCAGGCCCCAGCGAAGGCTGGGATTTTTTCATGCAGACTTCTAGTAATTTCCATTGGTCTCTTGGTAGTAAGATTGGATGCCCGTGTGTATTGTTGCTCACATACAAAATCCTTCGAAAAGAGTAGAATAACAGTGCTGCCTGGACAAAATTTAGAGTTTAAAATCTGCCTAAAGTATTTCAGGATCATCGCCGGAGTTGGTGCACTGCGCTGAGATTTTTCAAACTCAGGCTTAAGTTAGAAGTAGAAAGGAGCACTCATGGGTTACTACCCTTGTGCCATGATGTTGAACTGTTGTATAAACCATAAACAAACCTATTCCATAGTGTATGTGCCATTCCTCTTTGTGTTAGGTAACCCTGAGACACAACAGCATCGTCACCACCTCTTTCTTTAGATAAGGTAACCCTGCTACTTGAGATAAAACAGTCTCATCACTACTTGTGTTGTTTAGATAAGATAACCCTGCTACTTGAGATAAAACAGTCTCATCACTACTTGTGTTGTTTAGATAAAGTAACCCTGCTACTTGAGATAAAACAGTCTCATCACTACTTGTGTTGTTTAGATAAGGTAACCCTGCTACTTGAGATAAAACAGTCTCATCACTACTTGTGTTGTTTAGATAAAGTAACCCTGCTACTTGAGATAAAACGGTCTCATCACTACTTGTGTTGTTTAGATAAGGTAACCCTGCTACTTGAGATAAAACAGTCTCATCACTACTTGTGTTGTTTAGATAAAGTAACCCTGCTACTTGAGATAAAACAGTCTCATCTCTACCTGTGTTGTTTAGACGAGGTAACCCTGCTACTTGAGATAAAACAGTCTCATCTCTACCTGTATTGTTTAGACGAGGTAACCCTGCTACCTGAGATGTGAATGAGATTGCTAACATAATTCTCATACAAGTCAGACAGAGAACAGTTGTGAAACAATTCCTGCAATGACTTTATTGTGGCCACCTCCTCAACACAGAAATCAGACAGTCTGTGAACAAAGTCAAACACTTGGCTATGGTATGTTGTTTCTGGGTAGATTTCATAGAAACAAAAACAATAACATACAGAGGGTTTGGAGAGACTGAGAAGGAAAAAATAAGTTGTTGAAAGAAATAAGCAAGAGACAAGTAAAATATTTTGGCCACATTAAAAGACTCATCTTATCCCTCTTTTAAAAAACCATACTGAAAGAAACATTTTAAGGCAGGCAAGCAAGAGGTAGGCGGTGATACAAGTGGGAGGATATAATGAAGAGATGACAGTATACAAATGCGCTATGACAAAGAGTCAGCTAGAGATCGGCTGAAAACTGAGAGAAGCACATGTACAATGGTTTTCTTCTTCTTCTTCGCGTTCATGAGTTGTAAACTCTGGTGGAAAGTTCTGGTTGTTCATCCACCTCTGGACACTAGTCTTGTTCCAGAAGCTGAGTGTTGTGTGTGTGTGTGTATTTGTTTTACAGATCTGACATTTTTGTACGCAGACTGCCGTTTCCTTTTCCTTTGGGGAAATGTCCTCCGATTTTGAAGGAAGCTCCCAATTAGTCGATTCTTATGACATGCTTGTTGGTGAGGCAGTGAATCTATTCTTGTTTCCCCTACAATGTGGCCCCGGAACACACACAGAGGGTACTATGATTTTGATCCCCACAGATAATATATATATGGCTAATGCTTCATACATGTTATCCCAGCCTTTTTAGTAATTAAAGCCAGCATTAGTAAAGTAAATAATTGTATTTAAGATAAACATGGACCAAGATGAAAAGAAATATTGATATCCTAAAAATCTGAACGTCAAGGAAGATTGGTTAGTTAACAGCATCTTGCCTTGGAAACTGAAATAATTTTGGCCATACCAAATGTCATGGTAGTCACCTTGGCATAGCCGCTAGATGCTCGCCTGCAATTCAGAAGGTTGTGGGTTCACTCCCTGGCGAAGCCGGACTTTTTGAAAAAATTACCTTGGCTCCCAGGTATACCCAGCCTTAAGTGGGTACCAGGTGTAGTCCTGGGAAGTAAAGGCAGCCGGAAGAATGCTGACCACTCACCTATCTTGTGCCGATTGGTCAATAAAAATTTAAGTCAAGCCCTATATGCCTAAAGTCATGGAAAAGGATCCATTACTTTACATATCAAACATAATGGCAGATGAGAACGAATAAAAGCAGAAGACATGGTACCAAAAAAGAGGGGCAGGGGTTGACTATCATGAAAATGGGCACAGGATATGTGACATTTTGGGTAAGAAAGCACACAAGGCAGGACAACTGGCAAGAGACGAAGCTTCTTGGAGGCAGACAGTAATGACAGCGATGTTCTGCAAACAAAAGGACCAGCTACAGGAAGATGATGATTGATGAATGTGTGTTGGTGTCATAAAGTATGATAGTACTGTATATTGCGGCACACAAGTTGACCTTGTGTACATGTCGACCTCAAGAGTTTAGTTCAACATTTCCAGTGAGGTCTACAACTATCTAATCCACTTTATTTCTACCATATAAGTCGACTCCTAGTTATGGAAAGATTATGTGGGCTACAAAAATTTGGTGAGACAGTTTGTTGTCATCTGAGGATATCTGCAGTGCTGATGTTTTAATATTACAAGAACGAATTATCTAGAATCACTAATGCAACTTAATAATCTACATGCTCAGGGTGTTGAAGAGACAGTACAAGTTCCATAGAAGTTAAAACTAGGCCCTCTCTACAAGTATATAGAGATCACCCCCACCTTAGCCAGCATACTCTGTTAGAATCTAATAATTGTTAGCTGTTGCACTTTTCATCATATATACACTGAAAGGAAATAGTTCTGTAGCACAGCTGCTGAGCTGAATGTATGGCATGAGACCATGAGCTGCAGATTTCATTTGGAATGCTTTTGACTATGTGCAACATAGTTTGTGTTGTGGTGGTGCCTCTTGCAATTGTATGTGCAACTAACAAATCTATTGTAAATGTTGCTTCTATCAATGATAGACTGCATATCTGCTACTGGCTTTGCTGAGACTGCAGTTTATTTCATTTTTTCACAAGGGACGGTGATGTACATTCTGTGTAGTGTTCACTGGAACAGGAATGGAGCAACTTTGGAGTGACCCGTTTGTTATATAGTTGGAACAGTAATTACATAATTACCTGACTGACATAAAGAGGTCATGATTCTATATTTCAAGACATGGCAAAACAAAGTTGTATGGGACTAAAGAGGACCTACAAAAAATTATCAATTTTATCATAATAACATCCCCCTGTGGGTTCCAGGGCCCTATTACAGGGAAAACAAGAATAGACCCACTACCTACCCAAAAGCATGTCGTGCGAGTCGACTAATTGGGAGATTCCTTCAAAGTCAGAGTGCATCTACCTAAGAGGCAAGTAACCAACAGCCTGCACACAAATGAGTCAAATCTGTCAAATGGATGCACATGCAACACTCAGGTTCTGGAAAATGACTGCAGTCAAGAAGTGGACAAACAACCAGAACTTTCCACCGGAATTTACAGCTGGTGAACGGGAAGAAAAAACAAAAACAAAATCAAAATAACATGTCTGTCGTTGTAAATCAATGAGGTAATAAATTAAATTTAAAAAATCAAGGTTTTTTTCCCTAAACAAAAAGAATGCAGATAATTAAGATAAAATGTCTAAAATGAGTAACGGAACGCACCAAAACAATTCTATTACAGTAGCTCCGCATAAAAGATGCATTGAAAAAAGGTGCCAGCACCACGTACTGTCAGGATAAAAAAAAGCCCTAGGTATAACTAGGGACACAGCGTGTGGAGATTCACTGCGGCCAACCTTCAATGTGGTAAAGGGCACCAACTGCCTAAAAAAGTCAGATGTGATGACCTAAAGATGCAAATTCCAAAGCTCTCCAACAAACAGGCACAATGCAATTACAGCCCAAAACATAAGGTATTGAAAGACAAAGAATTACACTGAGGTAGTTCAAAATATGAACTAACGTAAAATAATTATTTGACATGCACTGAATGAGACCTTACCTTGCATGGGAGTCTGCAGGTATTTCACACAAGACTGTGAGCATTCGTTCTTTACAGCCCTTGCCCTTGGAATCGACATCAACAATAGTTGTCCGGTTCATGATTACATATTCCTAAGGATGACATTTATTAAATTGGTCATTTTTTTTATAGTAAAGAATGAAATAAGGCAGATCTCTGTGTTCAACGTTAATGTAGTAAATCGTCGCCATGTGGGATGCAATTTTTTGTTATTTGAAGCTCCACCCTGGCTTCTGCCGGGGTCCCTGAATATAGCCGGGGCCATAAATATGGCCTCGCCATAGATATAGCCTAATAGCTGAAAAGGGTTTCAGGGACCTCTCCATGGGTGATCCTCATCCGCTTGGTGGCACTTTGTGTCACCAGGTGTTTATCGCTTGTGTGATGTCCTGATGGGGTAAAAAGTCAGTCAGTTAGGTTATGAAGAATACTGAGCAATAAAATTTTTCATTATTTGGAAGCCCCACCCTGGCTTCTGCCGGGAGCCCTGAATATAGCCGGGGCATAGATATGGCCTAACTGCTGAAAGGGATTTCTGGGACCTCTCCAAGAGTGATCCTCATCCCCGCTTGTGTGATGTCCTGGTGGGGTACAACTACCTACCTACCCAATGAAGAATACACCCACAAAAGCTCACACAGCGTCCCCTTGAGGAATGCAATTTTTCATTATTTTGAAGCCCCACCCTGGCTGTTGCCAATGGCTGCAATATAGCCTGATGGTTGAACGTGGTTTCTCCACAGGTGAGCCTCATCCGCATGGTGGCACTTTGTGTCACCGGGTGTTTATTGCTCTGTGTGCTATCCTGGTGGAGTAAAATTTACTTACTTACTAAGAATTCACCCACTGTCCACCTATTGTCCACCTACAAAGAATATCATAAGATATGACTAATCAGTGGTATTTCCTTTGAAGTCAGTGCATCTGACTGAGAGGTGAGGAACCAACAGTCTGTACACAAATAAGCAGATCTGTCCACAGTCTGTACACAAATAAGCAGATCTGTCAAACAAAAGTGCACACAAAACTAATTTTCTAGAACAAGACTAAAGTCTAGAAATAGATAAACAACCAGAATTTTCTGCTGGAGTTTATAACTGGTGAGCGCTAAGAAGAAGAATATGTGATTGGCACCTTCCCATCTTTACAAACAATAGTGTTATATTGTGCTATGAGGAGGCATGGGATCCATAGCGTATGTGACTAGCAAGACCCGTCCACGTTGAGAAAGGTCTTCCACAATTACAGCATGGGATTTAAGGACCATTATTATCAACATTATGCACATTGTGTTTCTTCTCAGCTCTCAATCTGTCTGCATATTTTCTTCCTTCATTCTTACTGCCTTCCTGATGTGTCCCCTCCATGCAATAATTTCTTCCTTTATTCTTCTTTCCTTCCTGATATGCCCCTTCCACACGATTCGGTCCATGGCCTTTTGTTCCCACAAGTCCACCGCAATACCTATATCATTCATGGCCATCTTGTACACATCTTTATATCGTAGTAGAGGTCAGCCTCAACATCTTCTACCCATCTTTAATCCACCACAGAGGACTCTGCCATCCTCCTTTCTCCAGGTGTGACCCAGCCACCTGAGCCTTCATAGACTGAGCACTGAGAAAACTGATGTCTTTTCCTTCTTTGTTCACCAGCTGTAAGCTCCAGCAGAAAGTCCTGGTTGTTCATCAATTTGGTCTTTGGCTTTGTGCCAGGACCTGAGTTTTGCATGTACATCCCTTTTACTAGCTAACTTTTGTGCAGCTAGTTGTGCCTTGCCGCTCACGCAGATGTACTCTGACTGAAGAAAGCTCCAGTTAGTCGACTCCTCTGACATGCTTGATCGGGAGGCAGTGGGCCTATTCTTGTTTTCCCCACAATGGGGCCCTGGCACCTACATGGGGAAGAAAACTGTTGTAATACCTGCTCTTTCCAAAACCTCAGTGTATGTGATCATGTCTCGCCATTTGGTGCCAAAGTAAACTTCTTTAATATTGCATATGAAGGCTATTTAGCCATTTCTCCTGGTGCGAATAAGTTGACAAAGTTTGACTGCCATAAAGCAGAGTACTGAGAACAAAAACCTGATAGACACAATTTTTAGTTTTAATCATGAGCTTTCTGTTCTCCTATACTCTTTATGTTAACCTGCTCATTGTTGCCGCTGCCTTACTTATCCTGATGTTTTTTTCTTGGTCCAGTGATAGTTTGTTACTCACTGTGTATCTCAGACAAGTAAAATAGTCAACTGTCTCCAGACTGCAGGTCTATCATTAACAACACCTTGCACCATAAACTTTGTCTTCTTTTTACTAATTGTTAGTCCAAATTCACAGCATGCATGAGCAAATGCAGATAGTAAACATTGCAGCTCCTCCTCTGAGTAGGTAGTAATTGCTGCATCATATGCAAATAGCAGCTCTCCTATCAGTACCTTTCTTATCCTGGTTTCTATGAGCATTGTAAAAACTGTCATGAGATTGAGAATGAAAGACAAACTGTGGGACACTGGTGAAGAAGAAAAATACATAATATACAGAAATATCCATTGTTGGGAAACCCGTAAGGCATTTTTTCCCCCCTTCAGCAAACAATATTTGCTGTGCATCTGTTACAGCATGGCCACATACAGGATAGTATGGTTGTGATCTTCACCAGTGCCCTACAAAGTCAGGGCAGACCTGTTCTACATTCTCTGGAGATTGCTTTGGTGGTCGAGGCCTCTGAAACAGCATAATCAACAAATTCACAAACAATGATTGCCAATCATGGCAGCAGTGAATGAGAATAAACATAATCTTACCTTGATGGCCTGAGATGTCCCTTGTAACAAAATGAGGATGAGTTTGTTGCAGAAAATCAGCCTGCCTGGCAAACCTAACGCTACAGACCACTTCTTAATCAACTTTATATAGTTGTTCTTTGAGCGCATGTGATCCAGCTGAAGTAGTACTGTCATCAGTTTTAAGCCATTTTCAGGTCCACTTAAGTTCTGATCCTTTGATTTGTGAACCTGTTTGTTATGTGTAGATTTCATGTCTTGCAACTGGCAAGTTCTAGAACTATCATGATTTCTGCATTCTGATTTAGAATTTTTAACTGTTAGACTGTTATCCAGAGATATGAAAGGACATTCAGAACCAATGTTATTGAGTCTTTGCTTTTGTAAGTGTCTTTTAGTAATGGCTCCAGGCATCTTTGTTTGTGAAACAAAACTATCACCATCTGCATTGTGTTCCACAGACTGGAGTGCCTTCATCTCTCCTTCTAGAAGTTCCTGAGCAAGATAGCACAGATCTAACAACATAGGCTGTCCTTGTAGGGAAGCTGCTGCCTCTTTAACCTTCTGCATGATATTTGCTATGGCAGAAACTGGCAAGTATGAGCATCTGATGTTAATCTTGGGTTGTTGAGTCTGTGGGTACTCTGGGGTCAGTAAAATACTGACACTTCCATTTGTTCTGTTCCTTTCCGCTTCAACATCAGAGCACAGATCAAAGTTTATTGTGACGAGCTGACCCTCGGTGGCTAGGAAAAAACAAACAAAAGCTACATTTAAATATATAATTCATTATTTCTGTCATTTAAAGAGGAATGAATTAAGTTTTCCTCAGGGATCCCCCAAAAATCAACTAAATATGTTCCTTTATATAATATTTTAAAAATAGTAATATTATACACAATCACAGACATTTCCATTTAACACCGACATCAATGCTCAGATCCACTCCATCTCCCTTAGCTGCCAGGCAATCAGGTGATCGCAGTTCCAATTTCATAGCAAATGGATCACCCGGAAGTTCCTTCATTCCTGTGCCAGCGAAAACCACACCAAATGTCTATCATTGTCCCTTCTATAAAAACTGAAACAAAATTCAAGATAGGCGTATCAGCCATGTGCACCTGTGGAAAGGTGCCCCAGACAGCAGAGCATGTACTCCAGGATGCACCGAATTTAACAAATTAAGGCAAACCTTTTGGCCAGAAAGAACAACAGTGGAACGTAAACTCTATGGACCACTGAATGAATTAACAACAACAGTGAAATTTATACAAGAGACAAAATTGCTGATATAGACAACTTATTTCAGACGAACGAAAGAAGAAGAAAACTGAAACAGACTGCAGTCTCAACAATGCCAATAACATCTCAATGCAATGGCTAACTTTTATCAGAAGCAAAACTTGAACTTGACTAAAAAGAAGAAGCCTTCCTATCTAACATACTGACCAGAAGAAGATGTCAAATAGTATAAATACTTACAGGTTCAGTGGTCAGCTGGTTATCGAGTTCTCTGATTCATCTTCTACCAAGATCATTTCCTGATGGTGGGAAACTGGATTTCTGATTCCAACAGTAACAAGACAAACTAATTACAGATCTAAGGACCAACATTGGCTTACTTTCCAAGGAAGCAGAACTGGTCTTGCAGTGGAATTCAAGGAAATAAGAGTGCAGATGAGTTGGCAAAAGCTGGGAGTAATCTTCCACAACCTCATCCACCACACAGCTAAAAGGAAACCAAAAGAGTGCTAAAGCAGTCTTCCAAGTGGGAGTGGAGAAGGCAGAATGGAGATTACAGACCAGAGAATGACAGCATAAACAAACAACAGGAAAGAACAAACAGACTTAAGACTTTGTACTGGACACTGTGGTCTTCGAGCACACCTGCACAGGATAGGCATAAAAGAATCTGCTGCCTGTGATTGTGGAGCAGAAAAACAGACCCCTGGGCACATACTACAGTACTCAATGTTTAGCATGACTGATGTTGAACGCAGAAGAAGAAGAATAAGAAGATTCCAACAGTCACAGCTGCATGTAGTCACTGGCTTGTGTTTATGGAGAGCAAGGGTTGCTAAATCAACTAAAGCGGTGCTCTTGTCATGGTATGCAGGAAAGCTACTTCCTCCTCTGCAACATTCCTGGCTTGTAAACTTTCATGACCAGGTGTCCTTGATATCCTGTGTCCACCATCGTGCTGTTCGAAGCCTGCCTTTTCTTCCAGAAAGCATACCCTCCAATACCGCCCTCTAAAACTCCATGGTGTTTAATACAGATGAAACATCTCAGTTTCAGAGAATCAACACTGTTTATAAGTCTGCTCCCCTTGACATTCAGACACTATTTGAGAGAACTGTTTCATCTAGTTTCTAAAACTCAATCTCTGCCAGTTATGAGTGACTTACATCTTCTGCCATTCTAATCACATTGGACATATCTTATTACACATTCTTATATATGTTGAACAAGTATGGAACCAGAATACACGCATTCAGTACCAAGGAATGTATTATACGCACATAAGTTGCTAGTTCCTACCTAGATGCCCATTGAATGCAAGATGTGCTGATTTTACATCCCTCTTTATTACCCACTGGGCCTGTGATACTGAACCCCCTGGGACTGAAAGAGTTACCTAAAAGTATCGTTTAATGAGAAATGTTTACAACCAAGTCAACAGTATCTTCAGAAGCATTTCAATTCCAGCTCTCTGTTACCACCATAAAACCAAAACCTGAAGAAGATGGCAGAGATGTATGTTGAATTTTGAATTAACAATCAACATCACATCACTCAGGACACTTTCATAAGTGCTCAGTCCCCATCTTCAGCAGCAAGTGATGAGTTCCAATTCAGATGGTACCAGTAACCATCTGATTGTATATCAGTCTCATCCTTCCCCTGAGTGTTGAGCGTCGGCCAGATCCCCTGGTAACTCCTCGCAGCGTCACTTTCCTTAGACTGTAATGTTCACTCGCTCCCAAAGGGCCCTCACAGTATCTAACTTGTCATACATCAATTCACCACCAAGTGGTGCAGAGCCAGCCAGTCCATCTGCCTGCTTATTTCCTAACACACCGGCATGAGATGCATGTAAAACCATAATAAAAAAGAATGACCGAGTTGACCTTGCCATAGGAAATCACCACATTCAGCATGAGAGTGCTGGTTGAGGCAGTAACTGTGACATTCCAATGGGCTGAGGAAATCACATAACCGCATATGTTGTTACAGAAACAGATTCACAGAACATGCTCATGAAGGTGGAATCATGTTTTCTATGTATGGAATGGGTGGCATCAATCTAGAGGTCTCAAGATTTGCCCGGGTATACATGTGCATTTGGGAATAAGCAGGCAGATTGGTTGGCTGGACTAGCCCCACTGGGAGATGTACTACAAGTGCACAAGGCCTAGGTGATCTCTTACCTGTGGAACAAGGTAACAAGTAAGAATGGCAGATACTGAAAACCCGCATCTGGAGAGAAAGATGCAGCGGAGAGTGTCTGCAGGCTCTGGGAGCAACTCGAGTTAACCAGATGATAACAGGTACCATCAGTATAGAGACTCTTCGATGGCGGTTGAGGAGGAAGACGGAGCTAATATGAGCTTGCCTTGAATGTTCTGATGTCGAATCTTTACCCAGATGTTACCACTAACACGGCTCTGGTAAACAGCAAGTATCCATGGACACATTGCAATCCTCCCCTGATGTTCTCCTGGCGAAGCACACCCTGACCCAAGAAGCAAACATGGGTGAATGGTTCCAAGGTGATCCAATGTACTGATGAACTGTATAGATGTTAGTTTCTGCTTCTTTTGTACTTCATCTTCCAGTCGAGTGTAGGCCCTCAACCAGCTCAAGCCAAGTTGTCCTATCCTTTGCTAATTTATGCAGCTCACCCCATGTCCTCCCTAACTTGTTCACTTCTCACTCCTCAGTTCCCTTCTCTGTGTGCTTTTGGTGTCCCCTTATTCCTTTGACCATCTGTGTGTTCTGGTAAAAGGACACAGTAGTTAAAATATTATCAGGTTTTCTCAGTGTTTATCTTATCATCATCTTTTCATCACCTCCTGATTTACCGGAATCTGTTCAGCTCTCTCCTAAAGCTCCGGGTTAGCAAGTCTTTCATGCCATTCACTTTTCTCATTTACCTAGAGAAACTGCACAATGATATGGAAACAAAAAGATAGCAGGTTGAGACCAGACCTTGTCAAGAGCAGTTCAACCAATACCAACATGCAAAGGTAAAGATTTCAAAGAGCTAGGCTGCAGGCTGGATGGACAAGCTGGCAGGAAAAAAAAAAAAAGTCTCCAAACTTTGAAAGAGACACAAGGAAGTTGTGGAGGCTAGTGAAACAAATTAATGATGACAGTACTGGAAGAAATGTGAATACTGCACTATGCAAAGATGGAGCCATCCTAACAAGAAAACAGGCAGCTGACCACTTTGCAGACTCTTTTGCCTAAGACAGCAACACTGATGTCAGACCAGAGAAACAGAGAGAGGTTTGAGAGAATCAGCAACACACAAGACAAAATGATATAATTCCTGAGGCACTGGTGGCAGCTCTTACATCTATCGAGTTAGAGTTAGCAATATCAAAGCTGAGAATGGAAAAATCACTTGGAATTGACAGAATAACTAATGGAATGATCAAGAACCTTGGGACAACTGCCAAAACAAAGATGCTATAGACAATTGTTGGATCAGTGGCAAAGTTCCCCAGATATGGAAAGAAGCAATCGCAATACCTCTCCTTAAACCAGGAAAGGACAGTTCCGATGCCTCCAGCTTTAGACCGATCAGTCTTACGAGCTGCCTCTGTAAAACAATGGAACACATTGTCAACCTTAGACTCCAATGGTACTTGGAAAGTGAAAGCTTTTCACGCCGCAGCTACTGTGCTACTCCACAGAAAATCAGACAACTTACCTTTCGCAAGAAATTGAGGATGCCTTCCAGAAAAAAGAAGCTGGTGCTAGTGGCATGGATAGATCTGAGGAAAGCCTTTTACAAGGTCTGGAAAGAAAGTCTCATGAAGAAGTGAATTACAAAAGACAGAGAAGTTCATACTAGAGACAACATTGTTTATGTTTATTCAACGGCTGAACATCATGGCACACAGGTGTAACCCATAAGTGCTCCGTTATTTTTCTAACTCAAGCCTGAGTCTTAAGAATCTCAGCACAGTGCACAAACTCTGTGATCCTGAAGTACTTTAGGTAGATTTTTAACTCCAAATTTTGCCCAGGCAGCACTGTTGGGCTACTCTTTTCGATTTCCAACTTCTAAGGAATTTTTTTACATGTGCAACAATACACACGGGCATTCAGTCTTACTGCCCAAAGACCAGGGGAAATTACTAGACGTCTACGTGAAAAAATCTCAGTCATCACCGAGGCTTGAACCCGGGGCCTCTAGCACTCAAGGGGAATACCATGCCTCGAGACCACGCAGCCCCCCTCCAGACATCATTGTAGGTAGAAATAATTTATTTCAAGTGAACGAAAGAAAAAAATTCCCTCATTTGTGCACGAGCACCAATTAATGAATGTTTAAGGTTTCATGGTAGCCATCATTATCTGGGACAACCGGGTTGACTGGGGCAGTGCCAGATGGCAGGACTTCCTGTGAGTTATCATTATCTTGGACAACCGGGTTGACTGGGGCAGTGCCAGATGGCAGGACTTCCTGTGAGTTATCATTATTTGGGACAACTGGGTTGACTGGGGCAGTGCCAGATGGCAAGACTTCCTGTGAGTTATCATTATCTTGGACAACCGGGTTGACTGGGGCAGTGCCAGATGGCAGGACTTCCTGTGAGTTATCATTATTTGGGACAACCGGGTTGACTGGGGCAGTGCCAGATGGCAAGACTTCCTGTGAGTTATCATTATCTGGAACAACCGGGTTGACTGGGGCAGTGCCAGATGGAAGGACTTCCTGTGAGTTATCATTATCTGGGACAACCGGGTTGTCTGGGGCAGTGCCAGATGTCAGGACTTCCTGTGAGTTACACACTTCCCCTTCCCTGGCTTGGTGACCATAAAAGGGTGGCTGTGCATATCAACCACAGATTCCAGACACAACATGAGAAATATTCTATTATCAAATCATCAAGGAAGCAACACACACGTTATGTTGTCACTACTTTAAGAGACTATAAAGGGAAAAGTTACTGACGAACTGGACTATCAATTATTTTCCTTCAATATGCTAAAGCAGTAAGGATCATGAAATAACATCGCTGTTACCCGTTTAACTTGTAGCCTAAGGTTCTAACAATCATATTTTCATATTAGTTTCAAATTGTCTCTTTGGGAAGGACAGAAACACCATACCTTTTTCAGCAGTGAATTCACCATCCCTGCAAAATATTGCTCTCAAGGATTCTATCTCCTCTTCTTGTTGTGTGTTGTCCATGGCATGACGTTTTGTGACTCCTCTAATAGAAAATGTAATATATACTGAGCTGTCGTTATCTAATCATTTCATGTCACAATTCTTCATCTCTGTGTTCACCAGCTATAAACTCTGGCAGAAAGTTCTGGTTTTTCATCCACTTCTGGACTGTTCCAGAACCTGAGTGTTGCATGTGCATCTGTTTTATAGATCTGACTCATCTGTATGCAGACTAATGGTTCCTTGTCTCTCAGGCAGATGCACTTTGAATGAAGGTCCCAGCTAGTCGACTCTTACGACACACTTTTGGGTAGGCAGTGGGTCTATTCTTGTTTTCCCTATAATAGGGCCCCGGAACACACACAGGAAATGTCACAAGTATAATCCTAACAAATTGTGAAGGAAGATGTGGCCTCCACATTGTTCTTGAAGTATTTAAATTATTTCAAGGTACAAATTTGTCTGTGTGGGTTCCAGGGCCTCACTTTGGGTTGTGGGGGAGGGGGGGGGGGGCAGGAGGGGAGCACTATATATGATATAATGATTTTTATAACTTATTATTATCACACTAATAATTACACCTCTAAGGATTGACAATGGATTGATAAAATCAAGACAGCTAAGAGAAACCCTAAAATGAAATCTGATGAGAGAAGCCGAAAGTTTGAGGTCTTTGCGGACTTTTGGGGACTTAAATTGCGCAGAGGCAGCTACCGCATCTCCTGCAGCTTCCTCCATTTTATTTGCTCATGAGTCCCAGCCATCCAGTTTGGCCCCAATCCACGCCGCGCTTAGTGGAAGTCCGCAATTGACATATGACTGAGGCCCTGTTAGGGTATATTTTCGGCCTCGATAATTTGGGACCGTTATTGGGAGGATAGCCCTTTTTCGACTGTGAGCAACCTGGTGCTGTGAACTGTAGATTAAGAAAATGGCGAGTGGCTTTTGCCATTTAACTGGCGGTGGCTTATGTGATCAAAATTTATCACGTGTACAACTGCTGATCTGTTGGTAACTGCTGGTTCTTTCGATGATGATGATGAGTTGCATTTCTAATGTTAGGCTGTTTTAGTTAGCACTTCTGAGGCTGCCTTATGCTTTAAATGCGTGTGTTATGCTGGTCGACGTGCTAGGACTCTAGTCTGCTTAATTTTTCCGCAAGAGACAATGAGTGACGACATTCTGTGTACTGTCTCTTTTTCGTGGGCACAGGAGCGCAGCAACTATGGGGTGATCTATTTTAGTATTTACTTTGCTATGAAGCTGAAACTATACTTATCTATATATATAAAAATCAATATTTGTGTGTTTGTTTGCCCCCTATAGACTCGGAAACTACTGAACCGATTTAGCTGAAATTTTCAGGACATGTTTGTTTTGACACCGAATTTTGAACCATCGTGGTTTGAAATTCAACCTGTCACTGTTAGAGATAGGTGACCACAATTTATGCCATAATATTCGCAACTAATATTTATAACTTTAGTGATTTCTAATTATAGCCACGTTAGTAATTGCGCATGCGCCGCCGTAGTCAGAACGCAAGGCTTCCGCCATTCGCCGGCGAGTTACGTGCAGCCAACGCCTTCTCTAATACATAGAGTAGGTCTGGGTACAGCAAACAAGACTATCTCTATATTTGCCACAATAACCATATTAAACACGATTTCTATTTTCTGTTTTTTTTTTCAAACAACCTTCGATGAAAAAGGGGGGTGGGGGGTGGGGAGGGCAATCAAGGACTATCTCCGATATCTCGACGTCGGCGCAGACATTGACTGCGACATTAACTTCATTAACCGTGTTAGACACGTGTGATTTCTATTGTTGTGCCGTTTCATTAATATATCTGGAGTATCTGTCTACGAGAAAACAATTGACTGCGGTTTTGAATTGTGTTTTAATCAGGACACAGAAGTAGGGACACACATCTCTAATAGTTAAGTTCTCTTTTTGTTTATCCGATTAAGTGGCTGCTTGGTCGAATGGTTAGAACACTGGGTTCTTGTGCGGGAGACCTGGGTTCAAATCCGCAGTAGTTAATTTTTTTTTTTCCCCCAGACTAAAATAATATCCTCATCTGCTCTGTCGTGGTGACAGCACTAGCCATGTTGCCTTAATAAAAAAAATTAAAAAAAAAAGACAAGTAAATGGGTAAACCATTTGATAATTAAATTTGACCATTTCGCATACTTATGATTGCATTATTAAACTTTCCGATTGCATGGTTACGCTGAAATTTTATAGATTTTTATTTATTTTCCTTTAGATTTAGTTATTTCATCTGCGTTGGAATTTTAAGCTGTGCTGTTTACCATGGCGTTCATTTCCTAATTATGGTTTTTTTTTTTCCTGTGTTCATTTGCTTTTCAAGTGTTTTTTTTTTCCTCCCAACTACTTCAATGAGGGAAAGAGTTGTCGGTGAATTGGGGGGGGGGGGGGGAACTATTTACTGAGAGAGCTTTGAGTCACAGTAACTGCTTTACCCACTTAAAGTAGCAGCAGCAGTAATAGTTGTGGTTGGGCTGTTACACCATAGTGCTCTCATGTGAAGACCGCCGGTAAGGTTATGGCGTTCTTCTGTCGGCAAGTAAAATTATACATCCTAACCTGACCAGTCTGTGGCGACTGCACTAGCCATGCGGAACCAAATCTTCTGGCTCACGACTCTCTGTCTACTCCGATGGTAACACAGATAGCAGTGACATTATTTTAGTATTTGTACTGGTACTTGAAGCATGATGTGGTAAATATAACACTAGCCCCATTCACTACCTATTACAATTCCTGCTCCCCATTTTAGTTCGGATGGACAGGGATGTCAATGTCAGTTACAGCAACAACAAAATATCGCCAGGTAATGATTTTCAAATATTTCGAAGAGGGAGAGAGCAGTAGTCGGTGGAAGAGGGGAGGGGAGGGGGTAATGACTTAAATTTAGGAGAACTTAAAGAGCTTTACACGTGATTTTCAAATTCTCATTACCTAATTTGTTTATATTTTACTAACGCTACCTCCGCTTTTCTATTTTTTACGACTTACTTTGTTATTTACAAGTACAGTTGTAGCTTTACTTCCGTCTCCTATAAAAATACAAACAGCTTTAGCATCTGATAACCAAATAACCATTTTTGTTACTGTGCTAATAACACCATTTAAACGACCACTAATATAAGGACACAATTATAAGATGCGTGTTCTAAAGTTGGAAAACCAGACTATCTCTATATCTGTGCAGAGAATGATTGCGACATTAACTATATCAGACACGTGCGATTACCATTGTCTTTCTTTTCCAAAAACCTTTGATGAGGGAGAGAGTAGTAGGTGGATTTCGTTTGTGGTGGTGGTGGGGGGGGGTGGGGGGGGTGGGGGGGTGGGGGGGGTGGGGGTGGGGGTGGGGGGGGTGGGGGGGTGGGGGCGGGGATGAAAGACTCTATATCTGAGCAGACAATGATTGTATTAAACACATGTGATTTCTATTTTCTTTCATTTCCATTTAGCCAAACTATGCCACAGCCACGCGTGGCCGGGTACAGCTAGTATATTATATATACTAAATTTGCTTATATAATATACTAAGATTACCAGATTACAACAGCTCAAAAACACTAATTAATTAGTAATAGTAATTACTATTGGGTTGTTTTTTCTTTCCTGATTTTGCAACGTCCTGTAAAGGATGCACAACAATCTAACAAACTAGAGTTATTCAGGATTCAGTAACTTATAACCATGATCAAATAATACATTGCTGTTTTTACTGTTACACATCTTACACATAATTTAACTCCTTGCTGGTCTTGTCAAACCCGTCTCTTTCTTTGAGAAACGTCAACCGTCAATGTTTACACGAATAATTCTGACAGTGACGTCCCCTTTTAACACAGGGAAGACTATCGCAATGTTCTTCAAACTTTAGAATTAATCAAGTAACAGAAAGTGTTTTGATCGGCACTCATAGAAAGTAGTAGAAAGATAGAAGGTAGTTCTATAAATTAACCAACAGCTGCGTTTAGGCATATTATATACCATAGATATAGACAGGGGGTGGGAAGGGGATGATGTACACTTAGGTATCGTGGTATCCAAGACCATCTGTGACTCAAATGACAAAAGTTTACGAGCCAGAATGTAGTGGACATACAAGACTAGCAACACCATACAGTGTAGACTGTATGAAGAATGTTTCCACATTCATTATATGTAAATCGGTTCAACAATCCTGTAGCAGTCATAAAATTTGTGGCAAGATGCCTTGCAGAGGTTAGCACAAGAACAGCCACGGCAAAAGTGGTCTTTACAGCAAAATGCAAATGACACTTACTAATAAAAAGACGTCAGTTACTAGTAAAAGTGTTAGATTGGACCTGAGTTTTTTTTTAACGCAGATGGGTTAATAAGCAGGTAAGTCTGGGGTTTCGAAACAAAAGTCAATGGAAAATCTTTAGTGCAAGACAGCCTAGCATACGTATTCACAACATCTAGCATGAGAATGGAGGTGAAGTCGGTAACTGCAGCTTTCCTGTGGTTATAGAACAAGATGCATAAACATGTCGTAATTGTAACAAACTCTGAAAGCATGCTGAAAAAGGTGAAGGGATGCTCGAGCAGAGTGGCAAGCTTCACTGGAAAGGTCATGGGTAGTAAGCATACTTTGGATCTTTTCTCCTCCAGGCGGCGTAGTGTGTAATGAACAGACAGTCATACTAGCTGGATCTGCACCACTGGGTGGTGAACTGACACATGACAAGGCAGATGTGGTCAAAAAAACTTTGGAAGCCAGCAACGGAATCAGTAGAGAAACAAGATTATTATGGCGTAGAGAGAATGAGGCACCAGAGTGTCTGGCCGGCTCACTACCCTCAGAGGAAAGGGAAGGCGGACAGATAACCAGATTGTGACCTGTACCATCAGTATTGGAACTATGCGCTGGCTGCTGATGTTGAATGTTGAATTAAGAATCGACGTCACATCACTCGGGACACTCCCATAAGCGCTCCGTCCCCATCTTCAGCAGC